TTCCAAGATTTCAATTTTGAGTTTAATAAGGAGGTTTGCACTTTTATTTGTAGACATTTTTTGTATTAATAATATGATTGGAGTTTGTATGTACTTCAAAGTGGACATTTGTTAGGTATGTGACATGCACACAATATACCACATGTTAAAAATTATAATGGACAGAGGAAAATTTACTTTTGACTTCTTTGAGAGGTCTTAATCAGTCACAAACAACAAGTTCTCGTTTTTTATTCTTTGGATTTTTGTCTACCCATGTTGAAGCTCTCTTGTCTCTATAATGTTTCTCTCGTGAACTTACACTTCAAGAAGTAAAGAAAACAACCACTGTTATTTGTTCTTTTTATAACTTCTTCTGTTTAGTTTTATTTCTTACAAAAATTGGAAATATTAGGTAAAGTATATAGAAAATTAAATAAGTATGTGTAAGTGTTTCACAAATAATAAAGGAAAAGAAAATAAACCATAGAGAATTAACGTTGTTCAATCGATGTGAGCTATGTCCATTGACAGAACCGGAGAACTCTTTTAGTACTCGGTTGCTTTAGAGTGATTATATTGGAATTCATAACCATTAATAATTAAAACTTAAAACCATAGCAACTACTGGGCATATCCCTCATCCTACTCAAAACAATTACCCTTCGAAATCATCATTCGAGTTTCACTTTGTTCCCAATCGAATTATGCATTCGGGTCACAAAACCCAAGTAACTCTCTAATAGTAAATTTATGAGAATAACTTACTATATTAAGAAAATTTCTTGCATTATCATTTTATAGATATTGTGAGGGTAAATATACCATTTAGATGTTATAGAGAAAAAACACAACAAAATTTTTAAATTTGAGGCTAGTTGTTGTTTAAGGCGAAGAAGTGAAAGAGATTCAAATTCAATTATCGAGCTTTGATGGTGTATAGGACCAAGGTTTTTGTTATGATATGTAGGACGGACTTGAAGACATATAGAACTTTTTTTAGGGATTTTATGGCAGATCCAAACAATTACCTTAGTACAAATATCTTGAAAAGATATCAAACATTTATTCACATAAGCAAATGTAAAATCCAACAAAGAAATGGATAACAAACTATGATAGGAAAATATGATAGCAATGTCTAACAATGAGAACATGACATACCTAGATATAACAAATATAATGACAGATAAATAACTTGCAAGGCACGAGCATTTAACATATTCTTACAATTGGGATGATTGTCTACACTCACATGGAGAAACAAATGTTTTGTGTTATTGATCAACAATAAAATAAGGGTTGGTAATCACTTATAAGTAACCAAAACAAAAACCTTTATCTTCACAGAAATTGCTATAGGGTTTTCAAATAGGACTCAAATGGCTATCGAGGATAAGAAATAAGAGGATCAAGGTTCATTAAGTTGTTTAAATAGGGTTCAAACCCTGAAATTTAGGGCTTATCCTGTGCATGTGTACGCGCTGTGTACTACAAGTTTTCCAAAAATGGCAAAACTACCCCATAGGGACCAAATCTACAAAATATTACATACTAAGGGTCAAAATGAAAGTACCTTGAATCGGGTGTTACATGATGAACATGAATTTTCTCACTTGAGAGTTTTACTTTAATCTCATTAAATTAATGTTCAACTGCAAGACAAATTTTCTCTTTCACTTCCCTCAAATCTCCCGTAGAAACTTACAAATATTGTTTAAGTTTGGCATAAGCACCTTCAACTCTTGATGACGATAGATTTCCAAAATTTAAGTACGTATCGGTCCAAACACTAACAAACTTTTCTTACCAAGGCAACCATACATTTTTATGTACTCAATTGCATCTTTCTTCTCTTTATGTACTGACATAAATTCAAACCATTTTCCTTAAAGAGAGCTTCCGTTGTTGAATATACAACATTATTCCAATCAGACGTAAAAATATCGAACTCCTCGGCACGTCCAAAATACTTCTTGTAATTTGCCAAATACATTCTTTTCAATATGCCAAACACATAAAAGATTTAATGTCGTAGGAAAAAAAATTATACCATTCATTAACACCAGCTTCCTATCTAACATAATCACACATGATTCTTGTCCAATAATCTCAACATAACGCCGAAGAATAGTTTTCTTCATCTTCTATTTCCAAGATAACAAACTTAAAATAAAATGAAGTATTAAAACACGAAACACCAATAATATCAAGGAGTGGCATGTTATATTTCTTGCTTTTGTAGATGCAATCCATCAAAAAGATGTCCGAGAAGGCTTTGGCCAATTTAATAGACAAAGGGTGTGCAATAAACAAAAGAGATATATGCCCCTCCGCATTATGTAAAATATCATAAGTAAAACCACCTTTTTCAAGCTCCTCAAATAATGCATTGATCATGGATCGATTCCATAAATTTTCCTTTCGAATTTTTCTCTTCACGTTGTATATGTTTCTAGATATTATTGGTAGATTTGGGTTCTGGTTGACGCAAAAATGAAAGAATTTGTCTCAGGGGTAATCCCGCCCTTGGTCATTTCTTGAACACTTTTTATGCTTTCCAATGGTAATTGACGAAACGATGGATGTCCGGAGATATCTGTAGATGGCTCATGGTTATGTGATAAGTCTTTTACATCAAATATCCAAGCACCATCACCATTAGGCCCATCATTACACCTTTTACCCAACATCTTAAGAGGACAATTGATCAAACATGATTCGGTAGTTTTTTTCGTTCACCTAAAATACCTCGTATATCTCGATATAAACCACCCCAGTCGCATTGCAAAATTACATGCTTGTCATTATTGAACCACGTAGATATCTCTTATCCTTTAGAATAATAAAATTCTCGAACACTCTTCAATAAATCATTTGATGTAGTTAAATAAACATTTTTCACTCGATGGCATCAAAGTAGTTGAGTCCATTGAAATTGTCTGTCACATAATCACACACAAATTAAAAAATTCAGTAAAAATAGTAGTGATAAACAGAAAAATATAGTTTGATGAAATTATAAAAAGCAAGACATCAAGACAAATAACAATGTATTAGATGAAATTAGTAGAAAAGGTAAACATAATATTGATTGATTTTTTGGATGAATAGGGTTTAAGAATATTTACACTTACTAATATAAGCCCGATTTAGTGTAAGTTAGGGAGAAGAATTGATATTTTTCAATCGCAAACAACAAACAATAATGGTTTGAGAAGTGTAAACTCGTTTCCGTGTTTGCATATTGGGAAGGGTTTTAAATGAGAGGCGGTAGATTGTAAAGTTTGTTAAAATAAAAGAGACGGTAAAATTATCGTTTTATAAAAAATTATTGTTTGGGGTAAAAAACTGTTTTATATGAATAAACTCTTTTAAAAAATTACAACCTTTTTAACAACGAAAATATGATACCTATTCTAAAAATAATCTTAATCATGGTAAAGCCATTAGATATACAAAGACTACAACAGTTACGGAACTAGATATGTAAACTAGTAGTCCACCAATATCTGTTACTTTAAAAAAAATCATATATAAATAATTCTCTTTTCTAGAAAAGGAATATAATTATTAGTCAATTTTAATTGCCAAGTACAACCATGAATTATAGATGTGATGGCAACCTTTTCAAGAATGCCCATAATGTTTCCATAGCAAATGGCCAAATATTCTTAAATTTATCATTCATTACCCAACAAACACAAAAAACAACACATACCCATTGTCCAAATTCACAAAAAGATTTTCAAATCTACAAAACCCCAAAATCCGTTTCCTACATGGGAGACATTTTTTATATATTAACTTTTGGAAAACCAAGACCAAAAAATTAAAAACTTTATTTTTAAAAGAGATTAAAGAAAACCCAAAATAGATAAATGACAAAATTTTCTTATCTTTGACATAAGTGACCTATAAGATCTTTGCACATAAAAATCTTGTCACATGGAGTTGGTAAATTTAAACCTTATGATACTAATAAGATTAAAATATGACAATTAGACATTGACCCTTTGGATGTTGAAAAACGTTTGGACCTTTGACACTTAACGACTATAACCTCGTCAGATCCGTCTTCTTGTTGGGTCCTATACTCTATACAATACATACATAACGATAACATATATATATCCATTTGCTTTCTTTCTTTTTCTCTATTTTTCTCAATTTCCCAGACATAATATATACATACATATAAATACATGTATATATAGGTCCACACACTGAAAGAAAGAAGGGTTTTAGTGCAGAGTTAGTCTAGGTTTGAAATTGATTGGTCTGTGTGAACAAAAACCCTTGAAGATTTTCTTTTCTGAAAGGTAAAAAACCTTCCTCCTTAAATCCAATCTTTCCCTAAAAAAGGGTTTCTGTCAAATTTTCAAATCTTTCTTTAAAATAGCAAAAGCTTTGCTTTTTAGTTCACTTTCCCCCGTTAAAAGATTAGGGCTTTTGTTTCTCTCATTGTCAACTTCATCTCTCTGAAATCTGAATCTTTACATTCAAATCGATACCCATCTTGATGATTTTAGACACAGTCTATTTATGTGAAAGTTGACTTTCTTCTTGACTAGGTCAGATTAACAAGTTTGAAGATTTGGGGGTTTCTGGATTCAACGTTTTTTTTATTTATATATATATATATATATATATATATAAAAAAAATCTTTCTGGAGGTTATATTCGAATCGAGGAAGTGGGTTTTGGTTTGATTGTGTAAAGATGCGAGATATTTATCGGTGATTTGATGATCTTCATGGCTGGAAACCAAGTAAGGGTTTTCTTTTTTTCTTTTTTCAGATCTGAAATTATTATAATATAATGTAATTTATTAGAAGATTCGTTGTGTTTGCAAGTGATTCTTTAGATCTGTAATGCCATTCAGCCTTTGATTTCCCCAAGATCTTCATGGTTTTAATTTCCTTATTCTTGAAATGAGTTCACATTCGAAACTTTCTTGAAATATTGATTTAATTTCTTACTATTTTTTTTTTTTATCAAGAGGAATTAATTATATAAACATGGATTTACGAGAAGAAAGTTCAAGACTTGGATCGACGTTAAGAAATTTATCATCTTCATCGACGTTATTCTTCTCTGCAAATCAATCACCATTTTTCTCTCCAAGATCATCATCATGGCAACCAGCTGAGCTTTCAGAAACTCTTTGTGATGGTAAAATTACAAAATTAACCCTGCGTATTATTCGTTTCCAATTTTTGATTTCAAATCTTTAACCCCCAAAAAAACGGAATTTCAGATGTCGCCATTAATGCTGCAAGCACCTCCAGCGATCTACAAAACTTCGACAACTTCCATGAAAACGAAGCTTTTGAAATCGTGGAAAAGTCAAAGAAAGTCGTGAGAAGTCCAATCTCCTCCTTTACGCCGCCGTCAACGTCGTACTGTACAACAAGGTTAAGAAGCTTCGACGTGTACATAGGATTTCATGGACGGAAACCGTTACTGTTACGTTTTGTAAATTGGCTTCGAGCTGATTTAGAAGTACAAGGATTGAGTTGCTTCGTTACAGACAGATCAAAATGTAGAAACTCACGAAAGCATGGAATTGTAGAAAAAGCCATGGACGCAAGTACATTTGGGGTTGTTGTTTTAACAAGAAAATCCTTCAGGAACGCTTACACGATTGAAGAGCTAAGATTCTTTTCGAGTAAGAAGAATTTGGTCCCGATTTTTTTTGATGTGGGGCCCGATGATTGTCTTGTGAGAGATATAGTTGAAAAGCGAGGCGAGACATGGGAGAAACATGGAGGTGAGCTATGGCTTGTTTATGGCGGATTAGAGAATGAATGGAAAGATGCAGTGAATGGTTTGACACGTGTTGATGAATGGAAGCTTGAAGCTCGCGATGGAAAATGGCGGGATTGTATTCTTCGAGCTGTGACGCTTTTGGCTTTGAGATTAGGAAGAAGAAGCGTTGTTGATAGGTTAACGAAGTGGCGTGAAAAAGTTGAAATCGAAGAGTTTCCGTATCCTAGAAGTGAGAATTTCATCGGGAGAAAAAAGGAACTTTCAGAGCTCGAATTCATGTTGTTTGGTGATGTGATTGGGGAGAGAGAACGAGAATATTTTGAACTTAAAGCGAGAGGAAAGAGGAGGGAGGTGAAAACGGAGATTAGAAGTAGGCGGCGGAAAGGGAAAGAGCCGGTGGTTTGGAAGGAATCGGAGAAGGAGATTGAAATGCAGAATGGGGACCACGACGGCGACACCCACTTTTCTTCACCGAAACCTAAACCAGGGAGACGGAAACGAGCGGTGAAAGTTGTGTACGGAAAGGGAATCGCGTGTGTTTCCGGCGACTCTGGAATCGGGAAAACGGAATTACTTCTGGAATTCGCTTACAGGTTTCATCAGAGGTACAAGATGGTGTTGTGGATCGGAGGTGAGAGTAGATACATTCGTCAGAATTATTTGAATTTATGGTCGTTTTTGGAAGTCGATGTGGGGGTGGAGACTGGATTAGAGAAAACCAGAACGAAAAGCTTTGAAGAACATGAAGAAACCGCCATAGCTAGAATTAGAAAAGAGCTTATGAGAAACATACCTTTCTTAGTAGTAATTGACAATTTGGAATCTGAAAAGGATTGGTGGGATCATAAACATGTAATCGATCTTCTTCCTCGATTTGGGGGAGAAACTCATGTTCTTATATCCACACGTCTGACACGATTACTGAACATGGAGCCATTAAAGCTTTCATACTTATCAGGCGTTGAAGCAATGTCTCTAATGCAAGGAAACATGAACCTGAACATGAACGATCGTACCATTTCGGTTTTGGAAATTGATGCATTACGTTCGATTGAAGAGAAACTTGGGAGATTGACTTTAGGTTTAGCCATTGTTGGAGCTGTTCTTTCTGAACTTCCGATCACTCCAAGCCGACTTCTGGATACAATCAATCGAATGCCTTCAAACGGAAGAGAAAGAGAAAGCAATACATTACGTCGAAACACATTTCTATTTCAATTGATCGAGGTTTGTTTCTCCATATTCGACCACGCAGATGGCCCACGAAGCTTAGCGACTCGAATGGTTCTCGCAAGCGGGTGGTTCGCACCAGGTCCAACTCCGGTTCCATTACTGGCCCTCGCCGCTAAACAGATCCCGGAAAAACACCACCGGACACGATTATGGCGGAAGATTTTACGATCATTGACGTGTGGTTGTTCATCGTTATACGATAAGAAATCGGAAACGGAAGCATGTTCAGTTTTACTCCGATTCAACATCGCCAGAAATTGCACAAAAGACGGTTACATCCATTTCAATAATTTAACGAAGCAGTACGTACGGAAACGAAGCATACCAGGAACCGCCCACGCGGTGGTGCAAACGGTGGTGACACGTGGCACAGTGATTCACAACTCAGATCAAATTTGGGCCGCGTGTTTCTTACTATTGGGATTTGGAAACGATCCAGTGGTAATTGAAACAAAAGCATCGGAATTACCTTTTCTAGTCAAAGATGTAATCTTACCTCTTGCGATAAGAACATTCATCCGATTCTCCCGATGCACTGCTGCTTTAGAGCTTTTACGATTATGCACAGACGCACTGGAAGCGGCAGATGAAGCGCTGGTGACGCCGGTGGAAAAATGGCTGGATAAATCGTTGTGTTGGAAACCGATTCAAACAGACGCTCAATTAAACCCTAGTTTATGGCAAGATTTAGCTCTTTCTAGAGCGACTGTTCTTGAAATTAGGGCAAAATTGATGCTGAGAGGAGGACAATTCGACATTGGAGATGACTTGATACGTAAAGCGATCTTCATTAGAACTTCTATATGCGGTGAGGATCATCCAGACACTGTATCTGCACGAGAAACGCTTAGTAAACTTACCAGGCTTTTAGCTAATGTTCAAATCCATACTTCACCATAGATTTATACACAAGTTTACAATAAACCTTTCTTTTCATTCATTTTTTTTTTACTGAATTTAGTGGAAATTTTATACCATTTTTGAGTATTCGAGCTGCAGTTATGGTTTTGACGACTTTGAAGAAAATTGGGGGGAATCAAATGCAGCAGGTAATGTAAGAGTAAGACTCATGACATTTCTATTTATGGAAAGTTTGTGTATGAATTGACCATTTTTGAACGATTGTAATTTGTAGAAATGTTTATATTTAGTTTACAAGAGTTTCTGTTATCGGGAATGTAGAGAAATTTTATAGTATTTGTGCGCATTACATTTCTGTTTTCATGGTTGCAAAATGAGTTGAAAATGTTGAAATGAATTATGTTTTTCCATCAAATTTCTTCATATGAAAAAATCTTTAAATAAAAACTAAATTATGTTGCAAGGGTCTGATTTGTCAAAGTTACAAACTTATTTTGTATTCAAATCAAACGGTCTATAGTGTATATAGTATGTTATACATTGTATGTAGAAGGAAACTATTCATATTCCCAACCCCACCTCTTGTCTCCCCATTCTATTCATATTCCCAACCCCACCTTTGTTCCCCATTCCGACGTCGCTATCACCAATTTCAAGCAATTGCTCATATGTTTTAACTTGATTTAGATATTCAGATTTCCCGATTATTTTAAATAAAACGAGTGGTGGATTCCGGATTTGGATTGTTGGATGATTTTATTTGCTGGGTCATTATATAAAAACAGTTTTAAATATGGGTAATTTAAAAAAGGGTAAGTATTCCTGTAACTCTATGAAGTTTCACATTTTGGTTTAAATGATCTATTTCGTTTTGTTTGTTTGTTTGTTTTTTTTCTCCATTTAAGGGGTATAAAATCTAGTTTTACCGATTTTTAAAGCCATTATATAGAAAGCCAAGGGGTCAGCCGGTTAAACTAATCTTAGTTAGGAGGTAAGAAGCCACATGTCATTTAAAAGATTGCCAACTCGCTATTTCCGTTGTCACGTCAATAAATAACCTTTTGACCTACTTAACCCTTTTGTAAATGACATATTGACTCGTTGCTATCTTCTTCCCCTTTCTTCTTCTTTTTACCGTTTCTCTCCAAATCGCTGCTATGGCGGTGTTTATGAAGGTCGATCTTCATTTTCCTGGCTTTTTTTTCTAGGTACATCGCAATAAGTTACTTAGATGGAGCGGAGCAACACTTTGAAGATGTCGATTTTGTAGGAATGGACTTGAAGGAATTTCTAATGTTTATTAAAAGATTTGCAAATAAGGAATGCGTGAATGTGTACTTTTGCTTGCCCAATATAGAATTTCCTGATGGATTAAGGATAATAGCCATCGAGAAAGACTACCAGGATTTTATTGAAGTAGGGTACGACAATGGATGTGTAATCCAAGTATACATGGATCATCTTGGTGTCAATGTTCATCAATTGATAATGGATGACCAAGCGGAAGTATGCAGTTGTGAAGACAAGCAGTAGGGTGTAGGGGGGAACAATGAGGAGTTACATAGCATGGGAGATTTCAGAACGACATTGAGGACTTGCAAGGTAATATACATGATGACCATGGACATGTTGATCCCATTCCTATGAATAAGACCATAATGATGTTTTTTTTGAGCAAACTATGCCCTAAGGTGTAATCAATCCCATCAAGTCCTCCTCATGAGGACGATAATTTTCGTATAGACGACAATGAAACAAATGTTGAGGAAGTAACAACTTATAATGAGAATGTTAACTGGAAAAAACAAAAACCTGTCCTAGGTATGAGATTTGAAAGTCCAAAACAGTTAAAACATATGTTATGTAATTATGCTGTTGCTAATGGCTATCAGTTGTGTGCTATAAGAAAAATGATAGTTGGAGACTTTTAGTGAAATGTTGTTTTCGACAGTGTAAGTTTAGACTTTGGGCCTCATGGATGAGTGAAGAACAACCTTTCTAGATTAAGTCACTCATAGATGAGCACAATTGTGCAAGAAATTTCAAATTGGGATCAATTGTTAGCTATGCTTGGATTGGCAGCCACTTTACAATTGACTTCTTAAATAGAAAGAAAATGAGTGTTAGGATGCTTAAGGAAGAGGTGAAACAAACTTTTGGAATAGATGTGAGTATGAGACAGTGTAGGAGAGCAAAGAAACATGCCATTGAACTAATTGAAGGCACACTTATTGAGCATTATTCAAAGCTTTGGTCTTATGGTGAAGAGATAAGAAGATCAAACCCTAGATCAACTGTGAAGATTGATGTCAATAGTATGCCTGATGGGAAGACTTATTTTAGTAAATTTTACGTATGTTTTGAAGGACTAAAGCAAGGATGGAGAGGTAGTTACAGAAGAGTAATAAATCTGGATGGGTGTTTCTTGAAAGACTTATGTAGTGGAGAGTTAATATGTGCAGTTGGAAGGGATGCTAATAATCATATATTTCCAATTGCATGGGCAGTTGTTTGTGTGGAAAACAAAGAGAACTGGAAATGGTTTTTGGAGAATTTAAGGGAAGATCTAGGAATGGAAAATGGTTTTGGTATTACTTTGATGTCAGATCAACATAAGGTATGTTTAGTACCATATCCTATCACTTTAATCTAAATGTAGTTGTTTGTTTTAATAATTTCCCTTTATGGTATAGGGTTTGTTGGAGGCTGTGAAAGACATTTTGCCTAATGCAGAACATAGGCAGTGTGCAAGACATATTGTAGCCAATTTTCGGAAAAAAAAATTTAGTGGAGTATATTATGAGCGGATGTTTTGGAGGGCATGCAAAGCATCTACAGAGCCTTTGTTTAATGCAACAACGAAAGAAATCCAACTCCTAAACCCTACAGCCTTTGAATATCTTATGGAGAAGAACTCTAAATCATGGTGTAGAGCTTTCTTTCAGGAAGGTAGGATGTATGATGCAGTAGAAAATGGATTGTCTGAAAGTTTTAACACCGTCATTAGAGATGCAAGGAAAAAACCAATCATCAAAATGTTAGAGGAAATTAGATTGTATGTTATGGAAATGCAGTTTAATTTTAGCAGCAAAGGTAGTTCATGGTCTGATTTTAAACCATGTCTAGTAATTACAACCTTACTTAATCAACTGAAAAAAGCTCATATGTAAATATAATGTAATAATTTTACTTTGATTACTATAAACATACATTAACTTCCAACCAATGTTTCTAAATACTGGTAGGTTCTACTAACTGGTTCAAACCAGTTCGAGACAAGAAACTTGGCTGAGGCTTACGTGGTGGATTTAGACAAGAAGACATTCTAATGTAGAGTGTGGCAACTAAATGGCTATGGCTGTGTGCATTCACTTGCAACAATTTCATTTCTTAATAGGGATGTTGGAAGTTATGTGGATATAATGTACTTTGGAGCAGTTTTCAAGAACACGTACAAGTATTTAATGCATGGGATGAATGGAAGCAATATGTGGCCATGTACTAACTATAGTCCACCACTACCACCATTGAGGAGAAAAATGTCAGGAAGACCAAAAGCGAAGAGAAGAAAGGACCCAACTGAGAAGACTACAAGGCACACGGTCTCAAAGGTTGGCAAAAAAAATTTATGCAGTGTGTGTAAAGAAGTTGGACATAACAAAGCTACATGTCCTAAAGTTGACAAGCCCAAAAAACTTAAGGTCAAAAGGAAAAAGAAAGAAAATGGAGGTGAAGGAGGCAGTGGAACAAACATAAATGTAGGTGGTAATGGAGGTGAAGGATGTACTGGAACAAACACAAACGGAGGTGAAGGAGGCAGTAGAACACAATCAAAAGGAAAAGAGATTACACGGAAAAGGAAATATTCTGAAAGGATTATAAAAAAGAAATTGGCAAAAATAGTTGAAGGAAAAAATGGAGAAGGCAATACAAGTGCTAATCCATTAGATTTTGATTAAGGATAATGTGTTTATTTTCTGATTAAGTAGTTGGATGTCGTTGGATTTACATATGGATGTTTGTATGGATGTTTGTTGCATGTTTTTTTTACCAAATTTGTTTGTGTCTAGTTATGTTATTTGAGATATGATGTTTGCAATCTTATGGTTATGTAACGGACGTGCATGGTTATTCTAACAACTTCATGTATTATTATATATCTATGTGGTCCATTTTGTGGTCCACTGCACTAATTTTCAATTAAAAAGCGAGCATGCAAAATAGTGATAATGTGGATGTTGTGATAATGAGCATTTTCAATAATTTCCAAGAGGAGTACATAACCACGTGGTAAATTATTACAAAGCATCATAAAAAAACATTAACAACCCATTACAACTTATACACTATTGTGACAAAGAAAATAGCCCAACTAAGAAATACACAAATTTTCATCTTCCTAACATCGGACTTAAGCTTCTTATTCGACCTAAGCACAGTTGCAATCATGAAAGCCTCTCCACTTGTGCTATCAACTTCATCAACCCAAAAAATAAACCCTTTTCGTGGATCCTGAAATTAGATATTTGTGAGTAACAAACGAATTGTGCAGAAAACCCTTTTAAAATCTAGGGTTAAAGTTTAAGGAAACTTGCAATCATTTTTTACCTTTTTGGGGCAAGCATAAAAGGGTCGTCCTGGGTTGCTTCGAGTGGTTGAGGTTCGTATTATAGCCTCATACCCACAACAACATTCCACTGATTTCATGGTTCGTTCCATCTTCACACCTCCAATTTCCAACAACAGAAGAAGCAAGCAAAAACAATGATAAAATGGTAGCGGATCTATCTATGTGAGTGGTATATATTGGAGACTACAAATTGAAAGGACAAAAATACCCCCAAGGTCCTCATTAACTAAGGTGATGATTTCCATTAAACAGGATTACATAGTGATTTATACAAAATGCATGCTAACACAAGACTTCATCATCCACTACCAAAAGATTACACAAAAAAACAATTTCAGGAGTTACACAATGATCCACATTAACCCTTATAGACAACATTGCACATCAACACATAAAACACATATAATCTAAATAAACACATCGAGAACAAGCATTAAGAACTCACTATCAGATTAGCATGTGTATTTTCTCCACGAGAAAACCAATCGTCACCACCACAAGTGACACCACCACAATAGTCATAGCCTGCACTTCTTCTCGTTATGGTCTAATCGGCGCTGCACAGCAATCATTTCGATCCTTGATATCACAGAATTACGCCCCATTTCCTCCTTAATGCGATCCATCTCCGCCTGTGTTTCCGCCATTCTCTCCCCACAATCACAAAATATTGTGTGAAGTTCACTAAAGTTCATCCGGTCTCAAGAATTTAAGGAAATCGAATCTGGTGACGGTGGTGGGTTAGCC